AGGCGAACATAAGCAGAGCACAAAAGAAGCTGGACAGGAGCATAAGGGTGCGCCTGTTAAACCTGGCCATGAGCCAAGGATTCAGCAGCGATGTGGCCAAATTGACATTGCCGGCGCACAGACTCAGCAGCTCGGCGGTGCGTGGGGATAGGCCGCTGCTGCGAAAAATGGACACGGAATAGTAGAAAATCTGTCGGAGTAGAAACTGGTTAGCTTTATCGCAATGGCAGCGAGTCTGCCAAACGAACCGAGGAGCAGCCCGTCAGCTGCTGGCCACCCTGGTAGGCGCAGAGCAGCACCAGCGGCAGCAACATTTTGGAATCCTTCAAGACCTCACTGAGGCTGCGACTGCTGCACTTGCCGGCTGCCTCCTGTTCCATGGCCTGAATCTCTGACTGCAGGCCAATATTGCCGCCGCGCAAACGGACGAGCATATGGAGTGCCTGCTGACGTTGCTGCTTCACTATATACAACCATTTGGGACTCTCCGCATAGCAGCGATAGGGAGCATAGCAAATGGCCATGAAGACCACATAAAAGCCGAGCGCCAAATGCCAGTGCTGCTCGCCGCCGAGCAGCGCTTCCATGCTACAGATTTGGGCCAGCACAATGCCCACGGAGAAGCCAACGGCGCAGCTGGCGCCCAGTGTGCCGCGCTGCGTCAGCGCTGCAATTTCGCTGTGGTACATGGGCAGGCCGGTGGTAATCAGACCAGCGCCCAGGCCGACCACCAGGCGACATAGCAGCAGCAGCTCCACAGACTGCAGCAGGCGGCAGCTGAAGAAACCCAGAGCCGCCAGGAGTAACAGCGAGCCGCTGAGCAGAAAACAGCCGCGACGGCCGAAACGATTGGCAGCCCAGCCGGCGCAGGCGGAGCCCAGCACGCCGCCAATCAAATAGATGGACACAATCGAGGCCCATAGCGTGTCCAGCCCAGCGGGCGTCAGCTGCATGCCATAGTTCTGCAGCAAGGTGGCCTCGCACCAGGCGCGCATGTGCTGCAAAAGTTTAGGATTAGAATGTGGGACTAGACTTGGCTACGAACTGTCTTACCACGGCGGGATTGTTAATGATGCCCATGCAGTAGCCGCCGGGCACAGCGGCGCCAATGGTGCTGCCCAGCGTGCTCCACACGAGCAAACGTGTCCACTTCGGCCTCTGCTTCGTTTCATGCTGTTCAGGCTCCATCAGCTGTCTGACGCTCTCCATGCGCAACTGTCCTGCCAGTGCAAATGTGGCTGGCTTTTTAATCAGTTTCTGTAGCCGCTAATCCCTCGAGAATTTATGAGAGAAGCTGCAGCTAAATGGCATTAACTTTGGCGTGGCTTTCAATGCCCTTGCAGAGGGCATTAAGACTTTGACACGAAATGTGCTGCGCATTAGAGAAATCGTCCCCGCATAGAGAGAGCATATATATTCATGATCAGCAGCTCGTGCTGAGTAGTTATAGACGTGTCCGTCCGTCTCAGTGCGACTCCCTTATTCTTAAAGCTAACTGCCTGAAACAAGGTATAGAGGAACTATCGGACAAAACGTAGTTGAGGTTTGCCAAGATATCCTGAGTCTTAATATCCAGACATAGACATGAACGTGCTTAGATTTGCTTTGCTCTTCATAATATCGAATTCCTATATAATGGAACAATCGGAACAAACCAATTTAATTATAATATCACAAAATCTTCTTCAAGATATCTTTATCAAACTTCACATTTACTTTTTTTGCTTTCCTATAAATGATCTATTATATCTAATAGCTGATACATATTCTTTTCGTAAAAAATCCTTCTCCTTAGAACAACTATTTTTTTTTAAGGAATTTTTTATGGACTTCACACGTGAGCTCTAAGTCTTGTTAATATCATAAGACTATATTATATAGAATACGAAATCATATATTGCATCTGAAGAATTGTCTAAAAACAATATTTTATTGTCAAGGCTGGGAATTAAAAAAAAATTATCTATCTTTCTGGCAGCCCAGAGATAACAAGAGAAACCAGTTAAATGATGAGTTTTTGAAAAATTTGTTTGGTATTCCAAGATTTCCCAGGCTAACATATTAGTAAAAGCTCATGATTAGAAGACTCTATCATATAGCATATATTATATTAATAGGGCACATTTGCCATAAACCTGCAAGAGTATTTAAACTTCGGCAAGCCGTAGATAATTGTTTTTTTTTTTTTTTTTTTAAATTCTTATCACTGTCTGAGACGCTTTGATTTAAAGCCGTCGGCAACCAGAGGTGCCACCTCGGATGGATCCCGGCCGCGCGTCTCCGGCAGATAGCGTTGGGTCAGCACAAACACCAGCAGGCAGGTAATGGAGCAGGGCAGAAAGACCAGGGCACCCCAGGCGTTCTGTAGACTGGGAAAGGCCATGCCAATGATCAGATTGCACAGCCAGTAGACGACGCTGCCCAGCGACATGGCCGCGGAGCGGGGCGCCACCTCGAAGAGCTCTGTCGAGGGAAAGCTTAGAGTCGGGAAATAAGTTCAATGGCAACAATAGCACCTGCGCCTATAAAGAAGGGCAATGGACCCAGGCCGAACTGGAAGACAATAATGTACATGAAGATGCAGACAATGCAGCCCATGGCAAACCAGCTGAAGCTCTCCTAGAAAACGAAAGAAGTTAAAGAATAACATAATCCCAGCCGGAGGCCAGCCCACAACTCACAATAAAGTGCAGCAACATGGCGAAGAGGAACAGAAAAACACAACAGAAGAAGCTGGAGACGAGCATCAAGGGTCGGCGATTGAAGCGCTCCATCAGCATGGGACCCAGCAGCGCAGAGGCCAGATTTGTGGAGCCCGCGCCCAGATTGGCCAGCTCGGCCGCCTGCGGACTAAGACCCGCCTTCCGGAATATGGACACCGAGTAGTAGAAGATCTGCAAGAACGAAAATTACCTCAACGACACGGAGCAAGTGCATCCAGACGCACCGCATTTATGCCCGACAGCTGCTGGCCGCCCAGGTAGGCGCAGACAATGATCAGCGGCAGACGCAGCTGCGGATTGGTCAGCACTTGCAGGTAACTGCACGGCGTGCTCTTCACCCTCGCCTCCTGCTCCATGTCGTTCAGTTCCGCTTGCAGTGCCGGGCTATCTGCCGCATAGCCGCGCAGTAGCTGCAGCTGTTGTGCCGCCTGTTGCTTGCGTCCCTTGACGATGTACAGCCATTTGGGACTCTCCGGATACCACTTGAAGGGCGCATAGCAGAGCACCACGAAGATGCCGTAGAAGGCGAGCGCCAGGTGCCAATGCTCCTGCCCGCCCAGCATCGATTGCAGGCTAAATATTTGCGAAACGACCACGCCCACTGTCAGACCCAAGGGGCAGAGGGGGGCCAGCTTGCTGCGCTGCTGCAGTGCGGCCAGCTCGCTGTGATACATGGGCATGCAGGCGGTAAGCAGGCCGGCGGCCAGGCCGACCAGCAGGCGGCCCAGCAGCAGCAGCTCCACGGAGCCAAGCGGGCGACAGATGTAGAAACAAATGGCGCCCAGGGCCAGCAGCACGCCGCATATATAAAAGGCGGGACGGCGTCCAAATCTGTTAGCGATGGCGGCGCCCGTCAGTGAACCCACAGCGCCGCCCACCAGAAAGATGGACACAACTGCTGCCCAAAGCAGCTCCAAGGCGCCTTCGCTCAGCTGCAGGTCATAGCGCGAGAGGAGTGTCTCCTGGCACCAGGCGCGCATGTGCTGCAGAGGAATGGAAAGAGAGAAAGATTTAAGGCGTATCTCATGCCAATGGATGTATAACACAATGCACAAGGATAACAGAGAGTTCAAAAGAAATTATAACAAGTTGTATAACAGAAAGTATACCAGGTAGCTTAATTGGATGTATAACAACTAATAATTTGGGATGTATAACAGACTTTATTAAAGAAAGGATAGCAGGAAGTTAAACAGGAATTTTGAACAATCGATAAACTTTCCATTCATATCCCATACTCTGTTATTTATACTGTTATATTATGATTAATATAACAGAGAGTGTTATAACTCAGATTGGTTAAAGGATTAACATAGATAATCATTTATAACTGGATGGAATAAGGGGAGGAAGGATATAACACGGATTATAATATTTTGTATAAGGAGTTGTATAACAGATCACATAGAAAGGATTATAACAATGATTATGCCCAGTGAGAATAAAAGGATAAGAAACAATGGATTATAAATTGGATGATTACAAACGAAGTTAAATGAAATGTTTTAACTTAATGAAAGCAAATGTATAACAGTGATTATAACAGTTGCCCAGTTAGAATAAAAGGATAATGAATATAACTTGGAGGATTACTAAAGAAGTTAAATAAGTAATTTTACTGAATAAAAAGACAGATGAGATAATCCGAATTGTAACAATATTATAACAGTTTGCCCAATGGAACAGCTACTCACCACAGCCGGACTGTTGACCACGCCCGTACAATAGCCCACGGGCACGGCGGCGCCCAACGTGGCGCCAAACATTGCCAACTTCAAGGTCCAGCTCCATTTGGGCTGTTCATCCTGCAGAACGAGAGTTGGGCATGTGTTGTACGAGCCAAAGCCACGTTTCGATCTTACCAAGCACTTAGCGCTGTCGCCTGCCATTAGCGGTGCCTCCAGAAGTCTCAATGGGCTGGCGCCAAATGCGCCGCCGTCTTTTGGCTGTTCCATGTTGCGGTTGACGTGTGCGTGCATCTCGTAACGCGTCGGGGCACTGCTCCACTGGCCACTGGCGGGTTGTATTTCATTCGGGGCAAACCGCGCACTGTGCAGATAAGGGCACGTTTACGATGCTTCAGATAGCGAAAGGTTTAACTACAATTTTTTAAGAGTATTTAATTATTTTCACTGCAGAATTGCCCGCACGGCCGCCCGACCATGCGTCATCTAATCAATGTCACGATGCTGATGGATGAGGAGGAGGACAACAACAACGACGATGCCAATGACGCCCCGCACTAAAACGTCAGCCGCAATAAAACGTGCCAAACAATTGTCAACAATATGTTTATTAGATTTTATTGTTTAGTAGCTAATGGTTATCTGATAGATCCGAAGTTTTATCATGCTCACACGCTGATCGTGCGAAAGATGTTGAAGCCGCTGTGCGCCGTAGAGAGCAGCACGCCGGGCAGCTGGGCATGCCAGTGCAGCTCCTTGATCTCCTTTTGACCCTGATGGATGAAGAGCAACTGCGGCGGCAGCTTGTTCAGCTCTTCGTCGTTTTGGGCCGGCGCTGGCGCCTGATCGGCATCCTGCTCGACAGCCAGATCCCACAGGGCAATCTGATCATCATCGCCGCCGGAGGCCAGCACCGTTGCCTCACTGGGATTCCATTCGACGGTCGTTATATGATCCGTATGATGCTTAAATGTCGCGATGGGCTTTTGCGTCTTGAACTGACGCAGGTCCCAAATGTGCAGGAAGCCATCGTCACCGCCGCTGGCAATGAAGGGCTCGGTGTGATTCCAAGAGATGACATTGATGTCGCTCTCGTGCGCATTCTCGCAGGTGAGCATGCAGGCTTTCTGGGGTGCTGCACGGCAATCCCAAATGCGTATGGTTTTGTCCACGGAGCAGGAGGCCAGCACGCTGCGCTCATTAGGACTCCATTGCAGATCCTCGACAGAGGCCGTATGGCCCACCAATGGACGCTGATCAACCTTCCAGGTGCCATCCTCCAGGGGACTCCATATGTGTATGTCGCGTCGACAATCGCCCGTGGCCAGCACACCCTCAGCACTGGGGCTCCAGTCGATGGCAAATCCCTCCTGTTGATGGCCGCTAAACGTGAAGACAGGTCGCGTCTCATTGCTGGCGCTCTGTTGCTCGTATTGCTTGAGCAGCTGGGCATCCTCGACAGCCTGCAGCTGCTGTGACAGATTCCAGATGTTCACCCTGCCCAGTTCGCTCCAGGAGGCCGCAAACACATTATTACCCATGCGGCGGGCACGCACACGATTCACACAGCCCTGATGCTTTATTAGGGCGCACGTCATTTGCGGCTTCTTCAGCTCACTCTTGTCGGCCACATCATCCTGATCATCCTCCAGCTCCTCATCGTCGAGCTCATCATCGTCGCCGTCCTGTGTCTTGTGCAGGTTGCTCATCTTCATCACAATCAGATTGTTGACGTGGGTGCGCGCAGCCTGTGTGCCGGCTACTATGTAGGCCGTCATGGGAAAACTCTCCCTGCCCGTGCCGAGCTCATCGGGAACAATGTCGAAACTCAGGCAGGGCGCGCCCGTTGACGCCTGATGCAGCATCACATAGGCGCTCTCATCGCAAACCAGCTCCTCGTCCTCGGCCAGCGTTTTGCCCGGCAAGTAGACCTGTTTGGGCGTTTTTGTGGTGCCTGGTTCGCCATCCGCATCCTCGTCGTTATCGCTATCGGGTTCCATGTCGCTCTCGGCGTCCTCAGGCTCGACAACCTCCATTTCAATTTCATCGTTGGCATTGTCCATGGCTATTAAATCACGTCCAATCGAAATACCTAAATTTATTGTTTTGGCGCTGCACGTGTGCAATTGGGCCAGGCAACAGTGTGACCAGTACTGCAAATTTTCAAAAGGCGCAATTCTACTTAGAAGCAGTGTGCTCGTATGTTCAATAATGAACGAACTGGTGCACTCGATTGGGCAACACAACTGGAACTGGAGTCCAATTGACTGCGGAATACCATAAAAATACCAGAAAACTTTATTATAGCCTAGTGTGCGTTCAGTTTTTAGTAGTATTTGTTCAATATTGCGAGAGCATAAAAGCATAACAGAAGTCATACGTTAAATAAGTAAAACTAAAATTTCCTAATCCAAATGGCGAAAGCTGGGAATCCATTTAACATTCTTCGCAACATCTACCACAATGAGTTCCAGTGGTAAGTGGCAAGCCGTTCATTGAACATCGAACGTATTTCATTGCCGCATTTGTTTACATAACCACACTTTTCCCATTCTCCAATCCGTAGGATGTTGGTCAAGAGCTTCGGTATGTTTTTTCTGGGCGTGCGAATTGCTAAGGAATTCGTGGGCGTGGAATTGATGCCTACTGTTTTGCCGGCCTAGTGTAAAGAAACCAAATTCGCTATGTATAAAAACAATAGGGCAGTTAACTATTTATAATTAAAAACAAAAATTATTTACAAGCGTATTCTGGACAAGGTTTCTGTTAATTTCTGCTAACAATTAACTGTTTTATCTTGGACTCGTCCATGTCAATCTCATGTATAAGGCTATCGGCTAGTATTCTGGGCGTCATCTCGCGCTGCAAGAAATTGGCCACCAGCTTGCGGCTGGGCACAGCTCCACCATGTGCCAGGATCTCCGCACGATACTTCTCGCCCGCCTGCCGATTGAAGGGATTCGCCTCAAAGTACGTCTGCCAAATCCATGACGCAATGGTCTTCGATATGAGATAAGCGTAATACTTGGCGCCATAGCCCACGAAGTGGGAGAAGCGCAGCTGCCAGGCCGTATTCTCCACATAGGGCAGTCCGTAGTAGCGATTCTGGACGTCGCGCAGCGTTTCCGTCGTATTGGCGCCCTGCTGTGCGCTCTCACCATGATAGACCTGATCCAGAGCCGAGTAGAAGACCTGCAGCTGCGTCTCGCTGGCCGCAAACAAATGCTTGGAGGCGCACAAACGCTGCAGCATATCCTCCGAGATGGGTTTGTGTGTCTGAAAGTGGCGCGCAAATGTGCGCAGCACGCGCGGATCACTGGCAAAGTATTCCATGAGCACGCTGGGCACCTCGGCAAAGTCTGTGGCGCAACGTGTGCCGGTCACATGCTGATATTCGGTGCGCGCCAGCATTGAGTGCATGGCATGTCCCATCTCATGGAATAGATTGTCCAGACGCGCCGGCGACAGCAGCGTCGGACCCGTCCAGCGCGGCTGCGCCAAGCCCAGCATGACCACAACAATGGGCAGCTGGTAGGTGCCGTCCGGCAGCCGCTTGCCGCCCTGAATGGTGAAATGGCAATCCTGGTTTGGCTTGCCGCTGCGCTCAAAGAAATCGCAATAGATATAGCCCAGCAGTCCCTCGGTCTCGTGCATCACGGCCAGCTTGTAGATGTCGCTGTGCCAGCTCTCGCCGGGCTCCATTTCGGTGTTTTGCAAACGCACGCCATACAGTGAGTGCAGCAAATTGTCCAGGCCCTCCATGCAGCCACCCAGCGAGAAATAGGGCAGAAACTCGTTGGCCTGCTCCTCGAGAGATTGTCGCTTGAGCTGTGCGGTAAAGTACGGCGTGTCCCAGATCTCGACCAGCGAATTGGCCAGGCCGCTCTCCTTGCGTTTCATTTGTGTCATTAGCGCAAAGTCTGCATCGGCGCGCGGACGCAGCTGCTCCGACAGCTCATCGATGAATTCGCTGACAAGTTCCGGACGCTCGATGGTGCTGCCATTGAGAGCTCGATGGGCATAAGTCTCGAAGCCGCAGCTGCGGGCGAGCTCATAGCGACAGAGCAGCAGATCCTTGAGCAGCTCCTCCTGGCTATCGGAGGGCTGCAGATATAAACGGTAGGCGGCTTCGCGCATCTGCACATTTGCCGCATTGGTGCAGAGGCCCGTGATGATGATGTTCTCGCCCGCAGTGGGAAAGCTGTTAAACCAAAAGCGTGTCATAAACATAAGCAGAATGGCAGCTCTATGCACTCACTAGTCTCGTATATCCTCCGGTACATTGCTGCGCGACATTACCGTGGGCTGGACGGCGCCATTCATGAACTTCTGGCCCAGCTGCAGGATGTAGTCATTGAGACGGACCACGCGCAGGCGTTCCTCTTCCGGCAAATGTATGCCGCATTGCTCAAAATCGAACAGAAACAATTTGGCCACATGGCGATCCACCTCGGTGGTGGGCAGAAAGTCACCTTCGTGCACCACCTTGCTGAGCGCCTGGTACAGCGGCTTGTGTGTATTCAGGCTCTCCACGACGCCGCAGATGCTAATGCAGGCCTGTTCCGCTGCCTGCATATATTTGTTCTTTGGGTGGGCAATGCGTATAAACTCGGCCAGATCGGCGACCTTGCACAGCGAGTCCGAGAGCTCATCAAAAATGTCCACCATTTTCCGCTGTCGCTCACTGGAGATGGCTTCCGCAATTAGATCCTGCGTGGAACGTTCCACATTTTCCCGCAGCAAATAGAAGCCCTCGGCGTTGCGCAGCTCCGTCATGCGAAATAAGCCCTGGCAAGTGGCGAGCAGTCATAATTGGGTTACTTTCTCCAATTTGGATGAGCACTTACCACATCGTCGCGCGTAAAGTTGATGCGCTTCGTCGGCGGCGCATTGAATGCGGTGGCCAGCGGTGACCACGTGGACAGCATTTTTCGATGCCGCCAACGCTGCAGTGCAGCATTTGCTGTATTTCGGCTAATTTTAAGCATTGTTGTTAGCAGTTCAAGGATTATTTAAATTGTTTGTTAGCCGACTTATTACATATTCACAGCTGATCAGCTGTTTCCGCAAAGACGGAGAGAGAGAGAGAGAGAGAGCGAGAGCATAAGTATACTTGACAAGCCAAAACTAGCTGTAAAATACGTGACAGTGTTGCCAGCTCGGTGCATTTATTTATTTAAACACCATAAATTTAGTAATACCAAATGGACAAATATTTAACTGGTATACATTATTTTTGTGTACACACTATACAATAGTGCTATGTTTTCCAACACTGACACTGCCAACGACTTTTCAATTTAAGGCTTAAGCAACTATCATAATATATAATGCATAAAGTATTGGAGACAATATGCAATTGCTGCTGCCAGAGAGCGCCCGAACAGTTTTATCGATCCATTTCTCTACATGAGTGTAATTGACAAACTTGATCGATTTAACGCCCTCGCATTTCTGTGCACCACCAGCAATGCCCGCCAAATAGCCTTGACACAATATCGGAGAGCCCATATCGCCGGGACAAAGTTGTCCTTCTGCAAACGGCTCCACACAGATATTGCCCTCGGCTTTAAAGTTATCCATATCTTTGCAAAATTCATGATTACGAACGGTGACATCCAAATACATCAATTGATTGGCATATGGGCCATGCTATGGTAAATATGTGATTACGGGCAATCGAACTATGTATTGATAGCTACTACCGGATAGACCTGACCCCAGCCCATGGTGATGCAGCTCATGCCCTCAACTATTCTCAGACGCCTTCGTTTTGCTATCGGCTTTGCATACCTCATATTTTCGGGCATGCGTTCCCTTAAATACAATATAGCCACATCGTAATTAATATAACGACGATATTTCGGATGCAGCTCAACCCGATTCACATGCCGCTTATAATCATCATCATAGGCGTCCAGACGATTCAACGTGCCAAACACAACCAGTATGCCGTGCGGATTCATAATCGCCTTATGACGGCTGCAAGAAAAATGCAAATCAAATCCGAAATCCAAAATCGGCTAACGATGATCCATCTTGGAACCACTTTCGACTTACTCTGTGACACAGTGTGCCGCCGTTAAGATGGCCCGGCTGCTGATGATGACGCCGGTACAGAAATGATTATCGCCATAATATTGAATATACTTCAATGTGCGTATGGACACAATACTCCTGGTATATTTACTGTTGTCCGGTATGATGCCGCCGGCAATAAGCAATTGAAACTCATCATCGCTATTTCGGGTGAAGGTGCCCCGTCCGGCAGAGACCAGACCCAACGGCAACAGCAGCCAGACATACAAGAGCTGGCAAGAATTCATGCTTGGCTTGCTTCGACTAGGTTTAAGTGAGTATAACATTTATTCGAGCAACTGGCTCAAACTACATATTCAAATAGCATATATAGCACGCATGCTATAATATTGCCGTGTCTTTCAAAAATATCTCTTTAACATATATGCTTATTCGATATCAATTGGAATTAACATAAATAATACAAGCTATCAAATCAGCTAGTTTTTTTTTTTTTCATATATAGAGATCGATAAATATGTATATATAAGATAATATAGTAAGGGATTATATATGAGAGCTAATTGAGATTTTTGGAGCACATGATAGGGCTTTTGTTAAAACTAACAGACGAACAATTGTAACTATTATAGCTTGTACTTAATTATGCAGCGTATTTTTAGCCACGTCGCAGATTACATGGATGGGCTAATTACGCCCACTGGGCGTTGCAGAATATGTAGGACACACACACACACACACACACACAGAAGTATATATATATAAATATGCATAGGGGTGTGGATAACAGTAGTAATTTTGCTGATTTGGAAATTGTCGCTTGTGTGTAGCTCATTTACGTTTGGGCAGCTTGTAGTTTGAGGGCGGATGCAGCTTTAGATGATCCAGAAAAACGGGCTGCATGTCGGCACACCAGGATATCTCCTCACGCGCACGCACCGGCCCATCCTTGCAGGTCAGCCAATAGGTGCTCATCAGTCCCTTGCCCTGCCAAATAGAACACAATAGTTAGCTATTGAAGAAGAGCTTGTCCAGCCGGCAAATACCTTGACATCGATGAGACCGCGATGCTCGGTCTTGAAACCGCCAACCTGCTCTAATGCCTCGTGCATCTCCTCGGTGATATGTATCTTCTGCGCCTCGCCGGTGCTCTCCATGCGCGATGCGGTGTTCACAGTGTCACCGAATAGACAATATCGTGGCATCTTGGTGCCCACAATGCCAGCTACCACGGGTCCGGTGTGAACGCCGCAGCGTATTTGCACAAACTCATCGCCGGCGCGTGGAATTCTGAACACAGACGAGGCGTCCAGCAAATCAAGTGCCATTGTTGCAATCTCGCTGATGTGCTGGTTGCCTGCGACAGGGCAGGGCAGGGCAGAGCAGGGGCGAAGGAGCAGACAAACATATGTTTAATTTTTGGCTGTACAAACATATCGCAGCATAAATTAAGGCGCATGGGCACACAAAACCCAAATTAGCGCGTGCTGGTAGGGGAATTGGTAGCGGGGGAGGGGGATGGGAGAGTTTTTGGGTAGACGTAGGGGACACGTGCAGTGAGCTGGGCAAAAAAAGCCTGTTGGATTGACAGGGAAATTTACATAAATTACCGTTTTTCACGGGCAGGCCCGAGGCAACCATATAGGAGTCGCCAATGGTTTCCACTTTGTAGACATCATAGCATTCGATGCGTTCGTCAAATACACGATAGATTGAATTCAAAAAGGTCACGACCTGTTACAATATATACATTTACAGTTAGAGTTCGATTTAGCTTAATTGTAGATTAAATCTAGCTGCCAATCTTACCTCCAGCGGTGTGCACTCGGCCGCAATTTCGGTGAAGCCCACAATATCGCTGAAGTAAATGGTTACAGCCTCATACAGCTCAGCGGGCACCTGTCCGAAAAGATACCCTTAAAATTTAAATGCGAGCACACACACACACACACACACACACACTTACCTGTTGCGTTTGCTTCAGCTGCATGGCCACACTGGGCGGCAGCATTTGAAAGAGCAGCGAATCACTTTTTCGTTTCTCGCGCTTCAGTTCCTTGGCTTTTATGGATAGATTCATGGCATACAGCTAACAAGTACGGTCAGGGGCTTGTTATTTATATAATTTGTTTAGCATTGAATTAAAAAGGCTTTCTACCTGTATGGTTGCTGCCGCATTCCTGACTAGTATAATAATAATTGGCGATACCAGCAGCACAACAACTAGTATGGCTATGCCGATGGCCTCCTTGTGATCCGCCTCCATTAGAGTTTTGTCCACATATTCTCTGCAAATGCAATACACAATATGTAAAAGAACAACCTGTGCTTTGTATGCAGTTCATGGCTTGTGCAGGCACAACCCGTTTCGTTTTGTCTTAAAGCATTTTAATGTTAATGAGTAAGTTATGTAATTAATAAAAATGGCGCTTAAGGAAAATGGCGCATCAGCATACCGATATCGATGCCTACATGCAGACATAAGCTGTTCACAAGCTCGGCTCAGTACGCTGCTAATGGCTATTGCTTGCAAACCCACAACTAACAGCTGCAGAGCTGTTATTTACAGGACAATGACTTGACAACATATGTTGTTTGGTTAGTGGTTAGTGCTTGAAGCTAATGAACATGACTATATCGATATACACAATGCCAGCGATATCGATACTATTGTGCAGTTAGCATCGATAATTATGCCAATCAGCAGTGTTTTGCCGCGTTTTGATCGAGTTGGTGCAAATTTACAAGTTTTATATAAAAAAGTGTATATAAGTTAAATAAGTGAGTGTGAAGGTAAGTTTTTGTATAATATACTTTTGATATGTGCGGCTGATCACTTACTTAATTAGACGTCGCAAAGCCTTTTGCAGTATGCGCAGATCGTCCGTGTAGTTGTGCATAAATTCGTTATATTCAATTGCGCTGCGCTCGTCAGATATATTTGGCTTATTCTTAAGCACCATATTGCTCCTGTAAACGGGACGTGTCAAGGAAACTTATAAACTTAATCCCTTCCACTCACATAAGCTTGACGCGATGAAATTTCTTCGTGTTGGTTATGTCCGTGTACATGGGCTTCAGCATGGGCGCGTAGTTGAGCGTGGAATTGATCAACTCGCGGGCCATAAACTCATAACGCACATAGGACACAAAATTCTCGGCGGTGAGCGGCCCGCGTCCGTAGTAGCGTATGCCGAAGGAGGTGGCTATATTCTGGCACTCGATGCTCTTTAGCAGATTCTTGAAGCCCACCAGATAACTGCAAGAGAGCAGAATTTCAGACAAAATGCGGCCAAGTCACGTGAACAAGAATGGTGGGAAAAACACACCGCCAGACACCGCTGCTGTCCGTCTCTTTGATCTGCTCGTTCAGATGGTGGAGCAGGCCGCGATTGATGGACGTATACCAGTTCATCACTTCGGTAATGGAGCTATCCTCCGGCTCCAGGCGCACACGTTCCCTGAACTCATTGAGGCGACTCTGAAACTCGTTGCGATTCAACATGACCTCCCTGTCGTCCTCGTCCTCATCCGGCGCCGTTGGCACACTAATCTCGCTCCAAGTGGTCATGTTGTTCAGCGCGTGATCCGTGTTGGCAAAGCGTTGCGTCAGATTCGCACTGAGGACACATAGTTTATATGTATAAACATACATATATAAAATGCGTTGTGGATTATTGTCAGTGCGCTGACAAAGGAAAAGTCAATCTTAATCTCAAATCCAACTCACCGCTGCTTGCTGCCGTTGGTGAAGATATAGAAGGCCACCTCGGAACGTTCCAGCTGCAGTCGTGTGACAACTTTACCCAAGTCCGTTGCAATTGTCACCTGGCGTGGGCGTGTGAACACACAAAATGAGATTATCTTAGGCGTGTGTGTGTGCGTTAGTGTGTGCGTGACTGTTTCTGTGTGTGTGTGTGTGTGTGTGTGTTTACTTGCGCAGTTTTATCCTGTGCTGGGCGTGGTTTTGATTAGTTAGTCGTTGACTTGGTAACTCATTGAATAATTCATCATATTCTCTCACTTTTGCATA